TTACTTCTTTTACTTTATTTAATTTTTCACACTTACACTTATCGGTAAAAAGAACTTTTCACACTTACACTTCTCGGTCATAGCAAAATAAATACAATCTTTCTCCTTTCTACTTATCTGCCTTATTGGTTTTTATTAATATTAAAATTGATAATTAAAAGAATTCTTGGAGATTTAAAATTTTATTTTTGATAGTGACAAAAATCAGAATTTCATCCTTATTCAGGATCAGGACCATCTCGGAAAATCAACTCGGATAAACTGGAAAGGAAAAATAAAAAGTAACAAAACGCTGGACGCGTATCTAAGTATGGACTGTGTTCGGAAACATCACTCGAATGCCCTTATGTATCATTTCACATTCGGTGAATAAGGATGAAATGATACATAGGACATTTCGATGGTGTTTTCGAATGCAGCCCTGAGCGAAGTGCCTCGCGTTTCGTTGATGAGTCCATCGTCTAGTTGCTAAAACATGCGCGGTAAGAGGGTAATAGTTCTGATTAAGAATACTTAACTCCATTTTTATGTCCATTTTTGCATAAAGATATTATTAAAACGTTTTTATTAATATTAAAATTGGTAATTAAAAGAATTCTTGGAGATTTAAAATTTTATTTTTGATAGTGAAAAAAATTAACTTAAAAAATCATCTTGGTCAAATCGGAACTCGGATGACGGCGGAACAGGGGGCACTATCACCACAGTTATTTTATTTTACAATTTTCTTATGTGAAAGTACAACTAATATCAAATGTAATCTAAAAAGATGCTTCCTGGATAGAAAATATCATGCTCATTGCAAAAAGCAATTATTGATTATTTCGGAGCTACGTGAACGCGGCCGTGGCAACGCTGAGACGCGCGGCGACTCACTCACGCACACTAGTAGACGCGTGGCTCACGAACGTGCGTCCGTTTAAAAAGCGATGCGGATTCGCTAATTTTTAAATAATATAATAACTACTTTGTGAGGCGTGACTCGAAAAAATGGTTCGGGACTCTTCGACTCAGTTTTTCATGAGAAATATCACTATATGTATAAATGGTGGGCGCGAATTAGAATACACCCTGTATACCGATATGATATAAATCAATATGAAATAAGAAAGCTAATACAGTTCGAGGAGGATGTGGACAGCCCAATAGTTTATTGCGTGAATTTTTATTTACTTTCTCATATGTCCTGCAAGTCGAATACTTTTCGGTCGTAAAAGTTTCTTTGATGGAACAGTAAAATGTACATACTTTTAAATCAATTTTTAATGTTTTTATTGCTTACTAACATTCTATACAATTCTTTCATCATTATAAAGAATTCTTATTGCGAAAAATATTACCTCAGCCGGGATTTGACTGTTCCACCCAAGAAATGATGTTTTAAGACCAATAAGTATGTTCGGTGCACAGGTTGTATTAGAAACGGTATATAAAACTTCACATGCTAAACCAATTGGGCTACTTACATTTTACTGACTGTATTGGTTTTCTTACTTCATATTAATTTACATCTACAAAAATATTCCTTTTAATTTTCAAAATATATTAAATTTGATATAATGACAATAAGTTAAGGCCAAGGTTGACAAGCTTTTTCGGTTGACTGGTCATAAAAATTATTTTACTAAAGAGTATGTAGTTACATCCAATTTTGCGGACGCGTTTCAGCACACAGTGTTTTCATCAGCGCTTATTAATAACTATACGTTCGAATATACATTAAATTAATTAGTTACATGATATAATAATATACTCTTAATAAATAATTAAATAATTCTTAGATATAGTCCGCATTTAAAATAAGGTAAGTCCAAATATAAAAGAATTGTGGTCAAACTTCGTCCTTATAAAACGCATTGTGCTCATATGTTGATATGAAGACAATGTAGGTTCCTATAGCAGGTTAGCAAGCCTGTATAGTACCGTATCCTGCAGTTACTGTATGTCCATTCCTTCTATATTAATAAAATCTTTGATTATGGCGCTGATTAATATAATTATTATGTTGTGTGTCGTACCTTATTAAACGTTTGACCATTATTCTTTCTTCCTTGTTAGATCGTCAGAAATTATGTACTTGACTCGCTCGTATCTTTAGCAGGAGTGACTCTTAAATTAGGATATACGAACACAATGTTTATGTGTTATTGGTGTTGTTTATCGGTTAAATGATTTGTTTTACTTTTTATTTTAGCTAGACTATTTAGAAACTCAGTGTAAGAGGCATTTAAATCTTCCGTGTCTTTCTGGGAATTAATTCCCTTCGATTGCTTTTTTATGTGAATCATTTCACTTATCATCCTTTTTCGCCATACTGATTCCCTATCTAAAATAGAAACCATGTCCCATTCAAACTGGTGGTTGTTTTCTATTATATGTTGTGTTATAACAGAATGCTTCGATGGATCTAATCTAATATTATTGGTGTGTTCTTTTAATCTAGTCTGCAATTTTCTTTTAGTCTGTCCAGCGTATGATGCGTCACAATTTGCACATGGAATTTTATAAACCACATTATTCATATTTAATTTATTAGTCTTATCTTTAATTGCACATATGAATCTATTCATTTTATTGATGACTCTAAATCCTAGTATGAACTTTGACTTGTCTATTAGTGGTTTAATTAACTTCTGAACAGAATTGAGAAAAGGCAGAATTAAAAGTTTTTTCATAGGAGATTCATCCGGTTCGTCATTTACGTCAGTGCTTTTATTCTGTGTTGTAAAATCTTTATCCTATTGTTAATTTTGTTGAATATAAGTTGGAGGGGGTATCCATTGTTTAATAAGATATTAATAATAAACTATTATACTATGCCTTAGTACGCTCTAAGTTGGAGTACTGCTCTGTTGTCTGGTCTCCATACTATAAGTGCCACCGTAATCTAATTGAACGAGTTTAGCATAAGTTTTTGCGTATGGTTGCTTACCGTATGGGCAACCTCATGAATATCACCTGTCATGACTATTGCCCCATTTTAAGTAATCTACATTTGTTATCTTTAGAGGACAGAAGGAAAATTCATGACCTAACCTTCTTCTTTAAGATTCTCAAATACATCAACAACTATCCGGACTTATTAAATAAAATAAATTTATGCATACCAACTAGGGCTCTAAGGAAACACTATGTTTTTCATAACGAATATCACCGCACGCTATATGGAATTAATTCATGCCTTAATAGACTGAAGATTTCTGCGAATAAATACTCGAATTTTGTTAATTTTTTTAACGGATCTGTATATTCTTTCAGACGTGATCTTACTGTTGTTCTCTTGCGTTTTAACTATCCTTGATCATGATTTCGATTGTGCTTTTTGTCTGAACATATTACTTTGCCAACACTATATTAATCTCGTGATGCATTTGTTGAAACATATATATGAATTGTCAATTTCTCTTCTTACTGTTTGTTCTTTTCATGTATGCTAAAGGGTTTTTACCCGTAAATAAAGTTATTATTATTATTATTAATGCATAGGTTGAGATTTTTCGCATGAAACGTCGGACGTGACAGTAGTATTGCTCTATCAATCAAATTATATATAGTACCTATTTTATGACTCATAGGATGGTTAGAGTGGAAGGTAGACAGGAGTCTACCTAAAAATGTATGTTTATGAAACCAATCTATATGAATTTTGTTATCGACCACTTCCAGTTGAAGTTCTAAGAAACTTATTATATTAACTTATTATAACCAGTCAACCGAAAAAGCTTGTCAACCTTGGCCTTAACTTATTGTCACTATTTTGAATAGAACACAAGCGCTATACCTTTATATTAAATTTGATATACCGTGCTTCAGAGAATTAAGAGATTAGTGTATTGTATAGACAAACATTTAGTGAATATACACATTGTATACAATATGTATATATTGTATAATATGTATTGTATTATATATAATTAATAAAATGTTAATTATGAAAACTAATGTGTCCATTATCACATAAATGTCATAAATAAAAAAATCGCGTATACTATATTTTCTTCTACCACAAACTTGACACTGATCAATCAAACGACGTTTCCAGTCAAATGATTAATAGCGGATCAGGAAATTTCAATCTACAAGATGGTAAACGCTCTGGTCAACCAAATTATTGGCGGATCGGAAAACTGAACTGGCGGGCCAGATCTGGCCCACGGGCCGCTATTTGGCTATTATTGTTATAGATACATTTTTACCTTAATAATGTTATATCGTGTTTTACAAATGCTTTATCACTAAAAAAGATTTAAAGACAAAACTGTTGTTTGTTTTTTCATGACTTGTAATAAAAAAATTTCTCTTCTGTATGGAAAAAAGGATCATTTACACATACACATATGCACAAAAATGCGTATGCATATACAATATTAAGACAGAGCGAGATATTTCATTTTATAAAACATAAACTATATTTATACATTACTTTAGAAATAAATGATACGGGCAACAAATGTATCATAAAATGTCTTTTATGAAACATTAAGCTGTCATTATTGCTTTAAAATTCTACATGGAGATATGATTTTTAAAAATATTTAGAACAAATATAGTCTAAGGGCTCTGATAATAAACAATAAAATAGAAAAGAAAAACGAAGGCGATAAGAACTGACGCAGGATGTTAGATGCTGAATATAAAAGTTTAATGTATAAAAACTGCCTTCCTTTTTCTTTTCTATTTTGTTTATATATTTAATTCTTAATAGAATATAAGTAGGGGAGACCTGGACTAATTGTAAGTGGTACTTTTTTCTTTGGCAATTTTCAATAACAAAATAAAAACGTTCAGCCCAAAAAGTGGTACATCCTAAAAAATTATTATTTAGCTACCAAATTGCTATATGCAATTTTTGTTCATATCGTTCCGTTTCACCGGTATAGACAAAGAATGACTCAACTGCCAAAAAGGTTTCAAAAATGCCAGGGCAACTCTCTGCCCTACCCCTCTCCCGGTTAAGTGGGCACTTAACTTTTAGGCTACACTGAAATGAGAACACATTATTTTCCTTCTTTCCTACCGTCTTGAATTATCTAACGATGCTGTACGGAACATTTCATCGGTTACAGAGTATCTAAAGATGATCTTGAGACAGCTTTGAAGTCTGACTATGAATACTGGCGTTAGTGAGTCTCTTGAGAATCTTAGCTCGTTTCTGTATACCCTAAAAAAATTAATGAAAATCGTATGGCATTTACTTCGCTCTACGTACATTGTCTTACGTTTACTGTCTAGCCAGGAACAATAACATATTTTTGCAGATAGACGTAAAACAAATGAATATTTCTACTTCTTTATAAAAATGTATGTTACATATAAATATAAGAGTAACGTGGTATAATACTTATTCTTATACCTATACCTAGCATATATTTCCAATATCACATTTTGTGTCCCTCTAGACGTGTAAAATATGCGGAATTTATATTCGCGATTTGTAATACAGAAAACACTAGATTCCTTTCAAATCAAGTATCGAATCCAACTAAATAAGAGTATTAGTTTTATATACAAATTTAGAAGAGCGTACGATCCACATGAATTTACATGCGAGTAATGTTACTTCAAATCGCGAATTTTTTTATAGTGACGAATCTACATATCTGATATTTGCATTGCGCATTTACCTTCATATTTGGTCCAATCGTAGCATTAAATAGATCGGAATATGAGTAACGTCTCAAATCAATATTCACTTTACTGATCCATCTTGATCTCACCGTGTCCCTCCTATACCGTATCTTATCTCTTTCTCGAACTGCGACGCGTCGAGGGTACCCTCTATTGCCTCGCAATTTGGATTGAAGACAGAATAAGCACTGAGCTCGCCACGTTGCTTCGGTCCAGATCTGGTGTTCAGGCAGATGAAGACCAGAGCCGACAGTACAAAGTAGACAGCACCAAACTCATACTCCAGCGCGATGACATATAGCGTCGCCCACAACAGGAAGTATAATAAATAGATTACTTGGTTCAACACTGTGCGTTGCGACTCCTGCGTACTATCTTCCGCCTGGACGTTCTCCTCCTGGACGTCCTCCTCTTGGACGTCCACCGACTGTTCGCACAGTTGGACCTTCAAACAAAGGGTGAAAATTAGACTTCTTTAAATACCTCCCACAAAGTTCTCGCCTGCTTTCGCTGGAAAACCCCAGAAACATCGAGGTTTTTTAATTAGGGACACCTGATCGCACGTAACCTCACCTGCTCGTCGCTCGTAGATTCTCCGATGGATCTCTCGATTCCGCTTTGGCGATTCCACGAAAATATGTTTTTCATTACACTCTTGACCGACTGCATCATCTCCTCCCTACGTTTTCTACGCCTGTAGGCTTCTAATCTCTCCTTCACTGTCATCGCAACATTCGCAACTGCTCCGATTTCATCGCGATGATGGTCGACACGTCAGCTGCTGGCGCTGCTGGCTCAAGTGGCCTAGAGACCCTCTAATAAGAGTCTGGCCATAAGATAGCACGCTGTGATTGGTCCGCCATTTTTCCTCAATTCGCGCCAATTTCTTGAAGCTTCTACTGGTGAAATATAATGAATTAGTATTTTAAATTAGTATTTCTTAAAATTTAATTCTTATTTTTCATAAGTTTTATCGACCTACACTGGCTATAGCGATTTTTGTTGACCGTATCAAGCTATTAAAATTCTTATTGCGAAAAATATTACCCCAACCAGGATTCGAACCTGGGTTATATACACGTTATTGCGAATAGTATTATCACAGCCCCGGTGGTCGAGCTGGCTAAGACGCCCGTCACGGATTGTAGGGAGGTCCCAGGTTCGAATCCTGGCTGGGGTAATATTTTTCGCAATAAGAATTTTAATAGCTTGATACGTTCAACAAAAATCGCTATAGCCAGTGTAGGTCGATAAAACTTATGAAATTTTGGTTTATAATTTCTGGCGATATATGTATAATTACCACACTTCTTAATTCTTATTATTGTTTAATTCTTATTATTTAATATATTATTATCTTAATATTATCAAATTATACAGTTTGTCTAGAATACTTTCTTATATAAAAAAGCATTTAGAAAACATTTTTTCCACAAGTATTATCAATTGCATAAATATAAATAATAAACAATTTCCATATATATGAAAATTTTATTCCATAAAGTATATTAACATAATATTTTGTACTAATTTATGTATTTAAGTAAATTTTGTAGATATAATTGTTCAACTAATATAGTATATGTCGTAGCCCGATAGCGAAATTAGCCATTTAGCTAAAAGCCTAGGCGTTTAGCTAAATGCCGCCCGTTAGGCTAATCGACGACGATATAGTCTAATGGCCTGAAAAATTCAGCCTGTTAGACGACAAGTCGGCTTTTCGCCTAACGGCCTGGTGCGCTTTAGGCGATTAGAGAAATGCTTGTTTTGAGGCTCGATGCGTTGCCAATTTATTCAGTACACAATTATTACTACATTACTATTTGTTAATACAGGATAACATAGTCAATTCATGCCTGAAGTCAATTTATTAATTTTTACACATTCTATTTGTTAATGCAAGACGCCTATTATTATTTATATTTATGTAATTGATAATACTTGTGGAAAAAATGTTTTCTAAATGCTTTCTTATATAAGAAAGTATTCTAGACAAACTGTATAATTTGATAATATTAAGATAATAATATATTAAATAATAAGAATTGAACAATAATAAGAATTAAATTTTAAGAAATACTAATTTAAAATACTAATTCATTATATTTCACCAGTAGAAGCTTCAAGAAACTGGCGCGAATTGAGGAAAAATGGCGGACCAATCACAGCGTGCTACCTTATGGCCAGACTCTTATTAGAGGGTGTAAAGTGGCCCGACTAGCCACCAGCGTTACCAACTGCTGAAAAAATAACCCGCTAAATTCGATTTGAAAATCCGCTAGAAAACCGCCAGATAAATCATATATGTATAATATGTATATACACCATAATATAATACACTTGAAAGTAATTAAAAAATGAAAAATCAGTAAAAATCTGTTGATTTATTTATATTGACACAAAGTTGCAATATACAGGGTGTTAATAAATCATCGCATTGGCGGTATACCCAATAAACACAAGTACGTCGTATGTACGTACAGTGAACATCCATGCCGGATATTGTGTACATACATCGAACGTCCATATCAGTTGCAGCTGACGTACAAAGGACGTCCATTGTACATCCATTTGCAACTCCAACGGGCATCCATAAGTTGTCCATTAATGAACATGTGTGGATGAATTATGGATCGTATATGGATAAATTATGAATCTAATGGATGAACTTTGGACTTTTTATGGACAAAATTGAAATCTATGCTGGAAATATTTTGGCTTTTTATTGTAAATGTATAATTTATAATTGATTAAATATTTAATGATTATTAAACACAATTTTGTTGAAAACTGAAATATTTGTATTTTTTATTCTCGTGTTATTGTGTGTGTGTGCGTGCGTGCGTGCGTGCGTGCGTGCGTGCGTGCGTGCGTGCGTGCGTGCGTGCACGCAAATATACAGGGTGGTCTAAAAGTCCCGGAACGGTTGAATATCCCGAGACATTGTGGGTGGATCGGAAAACGGAAAAATACGTATTTCCTATTTTTAAAAGAGCTATCGAATGATACCAAAATTGACCCCCCACCCCCACCCCTGTGGGTGGGGCGGGGGACAACTTTAATATCTAAAATGGGAACCCCCACTTTTTATAACAGATACGCATTCCACGTTAAAAAGTACATAAGTTTTGTCTGAAACATTTTTTTATTTGCCTAATACTTTTTGAGATGTTCAAGAGAAAATTTATAACTTTTTCAATGTTTAGCTTATGATATTTCGATAACGTAACTGTTTGTCAGAGGGAAAAGTAGTACAGGACTTTTTTACTTGATTTGGTCTCAGGAATATGCTGTCGCAATAGTGCTCTAATTATTGAAAATTTTTATGTATGTAAATTTGGTAGATGGTACAATACACAAAAATTTTCCATAATAGCAACTGTTTAGAAATTTAGAAACTCTTTTGAGAAATGCGTAGCCAATCAACTTGCAGCTTTTGTGGAACAGCTATATTGATTGGCTACATATTTCGCGGAATTAGAACTTGGACCAAGTACTAGCATCATGGACACAGGCCTTAATTCGCCTGAATAGATACAGAGTTTCTAAATTTCTAAACAGTTGCTATTCTTTTCATCGGTGCTGTCGATACGTTATTGCCCGAATGAGATGTATTTACAGAATGGTTACGGTAGAAGAAAGATACGCGTTATACATATATAAATATTCATTGTTATATTTGGCGTAATTTGTTAATGTAAAGAGAACAGATACTGAATTTAGACAACATGATGAAGATTATCACAAAGGGATAACTATTTTGACGAATTTGCCTCATTTTCATATGGTTAAAGATACTGTAGATACTGTAAAGATACTAGATTACATGCATCTTATTTGTTTGGGGGTAATGAAAAGATTGCTTACTCATAAAAAATATGGTTGGGTATACGGTAAACAACCATATAAGCTTTCATATAGACAAGTAGAATCAGTTTCAAATAAAATCAAAAACCTAAATAGATATATTCCTGTTGAATTTCCACGTAAAGGTAGATCGCTTGAAGAATGTCCTCGTTTCAAGGCAACGGAATTTAAACTTATACTGTTATATACAGGACCTGTAATTTTCAAACAAATTCTTTTAACAAATAATTATTATCATTTCTTGACATTACACGTTGCTACTTTAATAATGTGTAGTAATGAGTTTTGCAAAAACATAGACATGGTAAATTATGCAAAAAATCTAATGAAATGCTTTGTTGAAACAAGTATCGATATTTATGGGCAAGATTTTGTTTCTTATAACGTATATAATTTATCACATATACATAAGGATGTCATGCGATTTGGCAATTTAAATGAATTTTCAGCTTTCCCGTTCGAAAATTATATGGCGCAATTAAAAAAAATGATAAGAAAAAAAGACACACCACTTGAACAAATAATACGTCGTGTTTTCGAATATATTATAATAATATTCCAAAATTAGAAAATCAGTTTGAAAATAATATTGTCGCTAAAGAACATTATAACGGACCCTTATTACCAAATTGTTTAGGTCAATATAAAGAATTAAAACTAAAATCCTGTATTTTCAGATTAAACACTGCTGATTGTTATGTACAAATGTTTGATAATGACATTGTAAAAATATGTAACATAACATACTGTAACAATGTTATTTGTATTATTGGGCAAAAGTTTCTCGAGAAAAGATCATTTTTTATAAAACCTTGTGATTCTGCAATTTTAGGTATTTATAATGTAAGCCTTGACAAACTTGGCCGTTTAAAAATATATTCATCATTAGAAATTAAATGCAAATTAATGTTGTTGCCATATGAAGATAACAATGCAGTAATTTTTCTTTATTGCATATGTAAATAAAATTTTAACTGTTTATACTTTTTGGTTATAAGTTCCCTTATAGTGCAGAAACAATAACTTTTAACTTTAATTAATTAATTAATTAAAATTTTGTCAATATCAATTATTCGTACCTTATTAAGTTCTAATTATTTCTGCTAAGCGGTATATGACAGTGACAATAACGATTTAATGGTTGCTATTACGTAACGTAGCGCTTACCTAGAAATTGCGAGGGTACATTAGCACCTTGAAATGTTAAATATTTTATTATTAACTCGATTGTAAAGACGAGAGTTTAATTTTTTATCTAGCTTTGAATATTTAATTCATTGACTTTGACTTTGCACTCTTTATCTAATTAAATAGATAGCTAATTAAATAATTTATATATAAATCTTCGTACAGTTTTTGCATTCTTCCCAATATTAAACAATTTACCGAAATAAAATACGTCATTTCAATAAAAGCAGTCTCTATTTTTGAGTATCTCGATTCCATTATACATATATACTTTGAATTTATCTTTATCAGTTACACAAAGTGATTTTAAATTTTAGATTTCCTATTTTTTTTTCACAAAAATCATTAATTAATCTTTAAAAGATCTTTATTGCAAACTATTTTTATATATGGATGTAAGTTTCATTTTATAAACGCCATATAATTAATGCAACTTATTTTGTAAGCATTGTTTTAGTTTTATATTGTGAATTTCATTATTTATTACTATTTCAGCTTGTCAAATTTACATTTTTCTACTTTTTACATTTTTAATATAAATTTTTAATTCTATTAGTTTAACTTTTGATTGTACTTTTTAGTTAATATTGCAACCAGTTCCATCTTAACTATGGTGGTAAATAATACGAGTCCATACGTAGTTAAACTCTGCCTGAACTGTTTGTATTTTTTAGAAATATGGAATGGTGCATTTGTCATTTTATAATAGACAACTCTGTAGAAGTTGTCCCAAAGAATTGGGTAACTAACGAAAGCCAATGTGTATGGCCACATCAAAACCATCTAAGTTATCGGAGCTTATTAAAAAAAGAGAGATTCCCCAGGATAATTGGAAAACAATGAGTATCAAAATTTTAG